GGGATTTTTTACCTCATTAGACACCCTTGATGCAGAAATCGCACAGATGTTCAGAAATTCACGCCAAAAGCCAAAGGAGAACATAAGGAGGATGAGGGGTGTGTGTGACGGATATAATAGCCTGGATCGTTATTGGGGCTCAAATTCAAGAATCCAATTAAAAAGCCCAACGGAGCAGAACCAATAGGACAAGTTTACTTTCAGACAGGACCATGACAGGAACCTAAAACAGTGACTTCATATCATCATGCAGACTTTTATTGTATGTTTTTATGTAAATTTACAGCAACTCAATTAGAATGACTAAAACTTCACAGCCTTTTCATGTATTCATTTCCCCTAATAAATTCAGATGAACGTATATTTATAAAATGCAAAAAATATATATTTTACAAATATGCAAAACATTTTTATATATTATTTAAATACAAAATTACAATTTATAAAATTTTAAATATATATTTTACAATTCAAAATGCAAAAAATTATTAATAGGCTATATAAAAAAATGCAAACTAGCCATTTAGGGGAAATTAGTTAAAGATGATGCACTTTTTACTAATCCTTAAAAAAAAAAAAAAAACTGTTAACATGCTAGTTACTAATCTTGCCAATATTTCAACTCTACTTTCACTTTGTTATCGGTAGCATATGTGACGCTCTCTCCAAAATATTTTTGACTTGAACTGTAGAGATGCATTTGCAGTGGGACACAACATGATGGAGGGTTTAAAAGCTTCACATATTTTCGTTAAAGCGCTTATCTTCTCTAAAATGTTATTTAAGGTTGTTTTGAACCAGCAACAATCTTTTAATAACCAACACATCAACAAAGCACAGCCGACCCAAATACAGAAAATGATCAAATATGTCACTAATGTTTCCGCTTTCATATATAGCTATTTATTTTCTGACAGAGGAACTGCAGACAGATAACAGTAATTATTTTATTTCTATAAACTGTCGCTTATCAATGAGCCACTGGAAAAGTAAAGAACTTTCCTCTAAAAATACTCTCCTTCTCCTTGCCGCAGTATGTCATTTATCTGTTAAAATACTGATTACTACAGACCCGAGAGATTAAAATATTAAAAATAAAGAACTTTCCATTTGCACTGATTGTTATGCTGTTCACATCTGCTTTATCAAACACTAAAGCACAGAGACACTAAGTGAGCTTTTGCTCGTCTGAACACACTTTGACTGCAAACGCTATATTGCACATGCTCAATATAAACGACTAGACTTTGGCTGGACATTGTTATGCGAGAATCGGTACTTTAAGATTGATTTTCTCACTGCTTATAGGTGTCTACTTTACTGTATTGTTCAGCTGTGACAAAAAAGGAGAGTGTGTGTGCTCTCATGCGTTCAGATGTTCTGGTTGAGTCGAGGACATCTTAAAAGTGTAGTTTATCTTAACCAGTTCCTTACGCCAGTGATCATGAACATCCACCCACATACTGACATTTACGACTTTGCAGAGTTTAATTAGAACGGCTAAAAGTTAAACATTTAATGGTACTGCAATGACACAATCCAAATGTCTAATCTAAGATTGAATCAATATTGAAATTCGTACATGCACGGGCATTTTATGGCCCCTATATAGCGTCATCGGGGCTCTGTTCCAAAACCTAGTGAGCTGCTTCGCCATCTGCTGTCTTCATAAGAGGTGTCATCTAAAGAATCTTACAAGTGACCTATTTAAAAGAGACTCAAGCTCAACTGATTTTACCTTTAGTATGTTATTACATGTAGCATTGCATCAGTCTCAGCAATGGATCCTCTGCAGTGAATGGGTGCCGTCAGAATGAGAGTCCAAACAGCTGATAAAAACATCACAATAATCCACAAGTAATCCACACCGCTCCAGTCCATCAGTTAACATCTGGAGAAGACAAAATACAAGTTCATATAACATTGCTTCCTCCAGTGAAAAAGTGGTCTGGTCTGAATCAGGAGAGAAATCTGCACAGATCAAGCACTGTTAACAAGCCCAAACGGTTCTAAACAAATACGTGGCTGGATTTTGATGTGAGACGACACTGGAGGAAGCGTTATTATGGACTCGTATTTTGGCCAGAAGTTACTGTTTGAAGTTAGAAACGTCTTAATGATGGATTTGTTTCTTACAAACACGCAGCTTGTGGCTTCACAAGACATTAACTGATGGACTGGAGTGCTGTGGATTACGTGTGGATTATTGTGATGTTTTTATCAGCTGTTTGGACTCTCATTCTGACGGCACCCATTCACTTCCATTGGTGAGCAAGTGATGCCGTGCTACATTTCTCCAAATCTGAGGAAGAAACAAACTCATCTACATCTTGGATGGCATGAGGATGAGTAAACTTTTCATTTTTGGGTGAACTAGGCAGAATTCATACAATGTCGAAAACAGTTGGGCTGCTTCATATTTTTGTGGAAATCATGATATTTTTCAGGATTCTTTGCTGAATAGGAAGTTCAAATGAACAGCATTTATTTGAAAACGAAATCTTGTGTAACATTATAAATGTCTTTACTGTCACTTTCGATCAGTTTAATGCGCCCTTGCTGGATAAACCTTAATGACCCCAAACTTTTGACCGCTAGCGTATGTGTGTCACATAAGTTAATATTCTGTTTCTGATGCAATGCCATCAACTGTGACTCAAGCATTTCGTCCCGCCTCTGCTGTATACTATAGTAAACATGAATTCATTTGCAGCTCTTCTTTAGACTTTGGCATTTTCACACAAGGAAAAGGAATCTAGTTTCAAGGATAAACTGTTATAACGTCTCCGTCGGCTTCATCCTCCATATGTGTGCTACAGATGAATGATTACACAGCCGACTGCCAGTCAGGTCTGTGAAGGTCAAAGTCTTTGACTGCGGGTCTGGTCGGTTTCACAGGTATAATTTTGAGCACAGATGTGAAATTCAAGCTTTAATGCATCTAAATAGTTAAAACACCTTACGGGTGAGAGAAACGTCAGCGTTCAGCGGTCTCTCTAATGCAGTGTCCCCCAGAGACCCACGCATTCATTTTTCATTCACTGTAGTGCACATATACTTTTTTCCCCCTCTATTTTGGTCCTCCATCATTCTGTGGTACATGCTTTGAGGTGTGACTCGATATAATTGGCTATATTATTGTGCAAAAATGAATGCCTAAACCTTTTATCTGGGTCTATTTCACAATCAATTTCCTTTTTATTTATTTATTTATTCATTTTTTTATTTAAAATGTTTTTGGTCTTTCAAATGCCGTGGGTGTGGCTAATATGATTATATTAATATTTAAAAAAAAATCTATTATGTAAAAAGATCAGACCTTTAACACCCCAAATCCAAACATTTTGAGTTATTCATTTTCCCCCCAGTTATATTAATATTTAATTGTATTTTTGAAAAAAAAAAAATTCTTATATTTTTTATTATATGTGCTTTTAACATATTATCTCTGTATTTAAAAAATTTATTTAGTCACCACTAGTACACTTGAGTGTACTAGTGTATGAAAGATGGGTTCAAGTATACTACAAGTGGTGACTAAATACAGAGATAGTATGTTAAAAGCGATTTTAGTTCATATATATGCTTGTTTTCTTTTTTTTTTTTAAACTAAAACTAGCTCCTCTAATCTTTTTGTATTCTATTTGTTTTCTTTTTATTTATTAAACAATTAACAAAAACAAAAAAGACCTCTAACACTAGCTTGCGCTATTCTTTTTCTATTCTATCTGTTTTCTTTTTATTTATTATTTCATTTTTTAAAAAACTTGCTACATGTACTGCATTAAGCTAACTGAGACTTGTTATAGCACTTGCATATCATTGCTCTTTTGTTGGTTTTGATTGCTTCCATTGTCCTCATTTGTAAGTCGCTTCGGATAAAAGCATCTGCTAAATGACTAAATGTAAATATATTCATGGTGTCCCAAAATAGCACAGTTGAGTACACTTAGATGATCCTGAGTTTATCTTACGAAGTACTAAAGAATAATTTTTAGTATATTAAGAACAAAATTAGTGCGTGAAAATACAGCACTTTAAGTACATTATGGAAGTGAACTTTTTTTTTAACCTGGGAAGTGCGCAAGACTGTCCCAGGTCTTAAAAACGCCAACGCGCAGTGCCCTTAAAGCACACTGAATCCACACTATTTTGAATACCGCTCCGAAGCGCTATTCCAGGCTTAGTGTATCCCATCATGCATCATGTTCTGGAAATAAATCGTGAGACTTTCTGCCGAGATCTCGCGAGAGGTCACGGAAACCTTTCCAATGTAAGTTAAATATTAATATAATAATTAGATATTACAAATAATTTGGTAGAAAAACAGTGTTTTTACTTTTATTGGTGCAAAGATGAGTTGTGGTGATATTTATTTTGTACAACATTTTTTTTATCATTTAATTAGAAGCACCACAAATTTAAATTATGTACTGTTATAGGGACTGCTGAACAGACATTTAGAAGTTGATTTTAAAATGCAAAGTATTTCAAATTAAAATTAAAACAAAGCTGTGTAAACACTTGCATTTTTACAACACTATAAGTGTGTCCCATCAGGTAATGAAAAGTTCGACACACTTGTGGTCTTCATCCTCACTTGAACACTTGGGCCAAATACAGGAAATACGTCATATAAGTGTTCAAGTGGTCAAGTGCAAAGACCGCAAGTGTGGGTATTTTCATTTAAGTAATCAAGTTGTCAAGTGCAAAGACTGCAAGTGTGGGTATTTGGACAAGGGGTTTGTGTGGATTCAGTGCGCGTTAAGGGCACTGCGCTTTGGCGTTTTTAAGACCTGGGACAGTCTTGCGCACGTGCTCTCAAGTGGCCAAGGGTAGCCTACTGCACAAGGCAAGAGTAATGTAAAGAGAGTCAAACCTCGTTTCGCTCGAGAGGGAGGAGCGGATCCTCGTGACTCCGCCCCCGTGCGCGGCGCATCATCAGGTGACGCAGGTTTCATAAAGCCCCGCGCGGCGCGTCCGCTCCAGCATCAGCAGCGGCGGCGACGACGGCACCGTCATGGCGCGGGAGTCTCCATCCTCATCGCTGTGTCTGGAAGAAACGCGCACTCACTCGTTCCCCTAGTGTACCCCCCGCGAGCCAGCAAGGTGATGCAAGCCCTCCACAGACCCGGGCTGCACCGCACACCAGACGCCGAGCTTTGGCTGGACCGGATGGCGGACCTCCAGAACCAGAGCTCTGCGAACGGCTCCGAGCTCAGCCGCTTCAGCAACCTGGAGGACATCAACCTGCCCGCGGACGGCACGCTGGAGCTGCGCGTCATGATCTCCATCGTGTACTCGGTGGTGTGCGCGGTGGGTCTGGTGGGCAACCTGCTGGTCTTCTTCCTCATGAAAGTCCGGCAGGGGAGGAAGAAATCCACGATTAACTACTTCATCATGAACCTGGCGGTCACGGACTTCCAGTTCGTCCTCACGCTGCCCTTCTGGGCCGTGGACATGGCGCTGGACTTCACCTGGCCGTTTGGACACGTCATGTGCAAGGTGGTGGTCACGGTGACCGTGATGAACGTGTACGCGAGCGTCTTCTTCCTCACCGCTATGAGCGTGACGCGCTATTGGTCTGTTGCGTCCGCGCTCAAGGACCGAACGCGCAACAAGCGCTGCTCTGTGAAGCTGGTCAGCGCGCTTCTGTGGCTCCTAGCCACCGTTGCGTCGGTCCCCACGGCGATCTTCTCCACGGTGAGCTCGATCAGCGGCGTCAAGCTGTGCCTCCTGCGCTTCCCCAACGGCCAGCACTGGCACGCTCTCTATCACCTGCAGAAGATCCTAGTGGCGTTTGTGTTTCCGATGCTCATCACAGTCGTGTGTTACCTTCTCCTGTTGCGCCTCATTCGCCTGCGGAGCATGAACAACAACCTCCCCAAGCGCGGTCCCCACGGCGATCTTCTCCACGGTGAGCTCGATCAGCGGCGTCAAGCTGTGCCTCCTGCGCTTCCCCAACGGCCAGCACTGGCACGCTCTCTATCACCTGCAGAAGATCCTAGTGGCGTTTGTGTTTCCGATGCTCATCACAGTCGTGTGTTACCTTCTCCTGTTGCGCCTCATTCGCCTGCGGAGCATGAACAACACCCTCCCCAAGCGCAGGTCCAGAGTCACCAAATCCGTCACGATCGTGGTCTTGTCCTTCTTCATATGCTGGCTGCCCAACCACGCCATCACCTTCTGGGGAGTCCTGGTCAAGTTTAACGTGATCCACTGGGATAAAGTCTACTACACGCTCCACACGTACGTGTTCCCGGTCACCATTTGCCTGGCGCACTCAAACAGCTGCTTGAATCCGGTCTTGTATTGCCTCATGCGCAGGGAGTTCAGGAAAATGCTCAAGGACTTCTTCTGGAGGATTTCGTCGCCCGCGATCGCCAACAGCTGTCAGATCCGCCCGTTCTCGGGAACCGCGAAGGAGCGCGACGACAGCCAGGCGGCGATTCCTCTGAACGTGATGGAGACCGAGGAGTACAGATTGTCGGTGGTGAACGGGCAAACCGACGCGTTACCGTCCACGGACTGCGCCGTTAAGAGGTAGACGCGCGAAGCCGTGCGTAAAAGCGCGCTGTTTACTTGAGTTACAGTACTGGAGGACATTCTGCAAACTCTACAAGGATGTCGTTCGACCCTTTTTTTATTATTCTTTCAAGTGATGTTTCAAGATGTTGCATCCCTAAACGTTCGTGCCAAATTGTCTTTTGCAAACCGTGCGTCCGCTGCAAGCCACAGTGCTTTTTAACGCTTCTGTCCACGTTTCTGAATTTAAAAGAGTGCTATTATTCCGTGTAAACGTGCGCGGTGAAGCAGACCTGGATGTACAGAGTATCGAATTATCGAAATAAAATATTGGGCTTACGCTGCAATGCAATTATTTATAGTTTTCACTTTTACTCATGTTTGGAGGAAATACTTTTGCATTAAAACTCGAAAAAAAAAAAAAAAAAATAGACAAGATTTGACGAGAATTGTTTATGCATACAATTATTATAATAAGTATAAACATTATGATATAATACGACTATATAGTTGTTGTTATTATATCTTATCATTACTTATTAGAAATATGTGGCCATTTCCTCATTTATTATCTTATACACGTTCGGAGTAAAATATTATTGCTTCATTGCATTAAAAAAACAATAAGCTACACACACACACACATATATATATGTTTGAGCTATTTTAAATGTTTTGACCAACCCCATCTTTTCACTTTTATTCAAATTTGGAGTAAGATTTTGTTTGCATAAAAAATACTCGAAGATTGAAATAATTTTTAATGAATGCTCATACTGTAAATGCACCAGATTTTAAAGCAGCATTATTCCTAGCTGGTTTCCGACCTCCTTTTTGTTGTTTGAATCTATTGCCTGGAAATTCTGAAATAATTAAAATGTATTGCTCATTTGAAATGTAATAAAGCTGTGTCAATGACCTCAACCATGTGAAGGTGATGGTCCGATAGGAAATGAATGTAAACAGTGTTACTATGTTGTCCATTTGAAGGCCATAATAAAGTCCTGTCTTATCATAGCAATGTTTGTTTTCCTCATAAGCACAATTACAAAGTTAACTTTTACTGTTATTCCATCTAATTAACATTTGACAGCAGGTCTGTGGTTTAGGGAGTAACGTACTCTACCGCAACAGATTTACTTCAGTTTATTATCTCAACACAGACACATAAACCCATGCAAACAATAACACGACAACAGGGGGATTTATGAGCTCTGTGATGCAAAGACGGTTTGCTTCACAAAACAACAGTTTGCTGTCAGTCCTTGCTTCTTATAGGTTATAAGAAACATGTTTTTACACAGAGAGAGGAGCAGTGGGCATTTAGTGATCCACATACACATTTATTATTTTTTTAACCAGAAGGTTGAGAGAACACTACATTTATTTCTGAGAAATGTGATTCATGCCATATAAAATAATACTCTCTCTATAACCACAAGAGGGCACCGTGATCCCAATATTAAAAACAAAACCAATAATCTAAAATCTTTACTACTTAAGACTGTATAAATAAACAGTTTGAAAGTTCAGGAAAGTCAACTTTAAGCCAACTATTAACCTTTAAGTGAAAAAGTCGCACATCTGGTGACTCTGGAAACAATCCCACGGTTGTTAGTTAATGATTGAAGCAGTCTGGCAGGTATTTTATCAGTTAAATATGGTCATGCTTGTGTAGTTATTTCATTTTTGCTGTTTTAGGAAGATTTAGATGCTGTGATATCTGTGGTTTTCAGCTGGAATGACATTCTGCTACTGATTTATTGCAGCTCTGAAGTTTGTTCAGCATCAGCCGGTCAGAAATGTCACCATCTTTGCAAAACCCTCGTCGTTAATTTGCACGTCATACGTCACGCCGGCTTCACTCAGCAGCTCGTCCACTGTGACACAAACACAGACAGCAGGATTTCACTAGATTTATAGATGTGTTTAACATGCTGCATTTGACATGAAAAGTTGGAACTTGTATAATCATGAACTGGTTCATTTAGAGATTTGGGGCTATTTTACTTCCATAACATGTCTTATTTCAGACTAGTGGAAAGAAAACATCTTTAATACACATTTAAGTGTTTATTTTGTTGCACTTCATCTATACGTGTCTGCAGATTTTGATTTGAATGACTACGAGTTTGTTTCTTCACTTCAGCAGCACTTACATTCACCAAATTTACAATTTTATTGATTTTTGATTTTAATGGTTACAATTTTGATTTTATTGAAATGTATCTATTTGCATCTGTAGATTTTGTTTAAGGCCATTTTCTAAAAATGAGTTTGTTTCTCCACACTTCAGCAGCACTTGCATACACCAACATTTACAGTTTTATTCCTATCTATATTCTGAAGACTTTAATAGAGGGATTTGTTCATATATCATTCACATTGGATTATATAACATTTTATTTTAAAAAAAAAAGTGTTTTTTTTTCCTTTTCTCCCTCGTCTGTTGACAGTATTTTCTAATTTATGGAGTGTTAAAAATAGATATCTAAAATCCGCACTAAAAAACCATTAACTCAACAATGTCAACAAAATGAAATAAGAATTTTGAACCTGGCTTCATAAATTTCATAAATTGCGGTGACTGCTCTAAAATATGAGACACCAGTGTTTCAGGAGTTTAGGACACAGAATAGGACACTCGCTTATTCAAAAACAGTTTTATTTCCTATTTGGGTTTATTTATATGCTTTATTTTTTTTAAGATTAACTGTTTTTTTCCAAGCCATTGTTAGATGCCAGTGTTTCCTGTCATAACTATGCAAGATTTGATTTCAAAAACAGTATCATAGCATTAAACTATATCTTATGAATTTAAATCTGTATTTAAGCTCAGAACGATCTCAAAGTAAGTCTGATTTTGTGGTGGCTGTGCTTTAAAATTAAATTATTATAATCTTAATTCAAGCGATGAAGGATTTTGAAAGTGACAGTAATCAGTGTTGAATAATACTACATGTTTGAAAATGATTTAACAGTTGAAAACATTACAAATTTAGAAAAGTCATCAAATGTAATCAGTTACATTAATAAAGAAATTGAAATAGTTACACTACTTATTACATATTCAATAGGGTAACTTGTAATCTGTAACCTATTGCTTTTCCAAAGTAACCTTCCCAACACTGTGCACAATGCATTGTGGGTAATGTAGTTCTATCTCCCCTGTGCCCTTTGTCTGAATCAGATTTACCTTCCTGATCCGTGAGTCGCTCTCCAAAGCCTGTCAGTCTGGCCCTGAGCTCTGCCGCTGTGATAAAGCCTTGTTTGCTCGTGTCCATTAACCTCACGGCCTGCAGGACCTCGGCCCGCGGGTTCTCCTGCTGGATCTGCGCATGCATCACGCTGAGAAACGTGGAGAAGTCCAACTCGCCTCTCTTATCTGGGACAGGCAGAGTCAAAGCGCTTTGCCAAAAAGCTTCAGATACAGAAGCCGTTTGATCACAGGCTGAGAGTTATATTTATTGCGGAGGGTTTATATTTAGTTCATTGCATCACGTTCGTCAAGCTGGGGTTCATTTCATCAGCGGCACCACATGTGATGTCAGTTCAAATGACACTTCCTTCAATTAAAATCATTGTGAGCGTGTAGCGTGGGACTTTCAGTGCTCTGTTTTTCTTCCAGGGGACTCTATAAACCATCTGTCTGCGTTCACTGGCTTTATCTGGATGTGCACACTGAGGTTTGCGGTTGTTATTGTTGAGTTTCATCCACGTACTCCTACAGATTTCAAGTTTATTTAACTTAGTAAGCCAAGTTTACACTGTTGACTTTACCTGGGGCTTGGAAGTTTAGCAGGACATTCACGCGACAACGTAACACAGACGTGAGTCTTTTGTTTGGATGTTCAAATACTTCCAGTATCTCAGCTTAATGTTCAGAGTCACTGCAAGTCAGCCAAGTGATCATTTTCATTGAGCTGCTTGATTTAACCAATAGAGAACTAAAAACCCCATTCATTTTCTCCATAGAGGAATTGATTTTTATTCAATTAACTTAACAGTAATTTTTTTTAACAGTAACTGTATTTGTTATAGCACTCTATACAATAAGGATTGTTTCAAAGCAGCTGTGCATTAATAAAAGAGGAAAATAACAGGTGTTAATCACGCAAAATTAATCAATTATGAAAATTTCAGCTGTAAAGCAGCTGTTATTTTAGTATTATTTATATGCTAGTTTTTATGACTATTTTGCATCACCTTTTATTTTTAAATATTCAGTTCTCATTTTAATTGTTTCATTTTTAGTAATTCTGTAATGTGCTTTTGTCATTTTATTAGTTTTTCTTTCTTCTTAAATATTACTATTTTCATTTAACTTATTTTAAAATCAGTTTCAGTTTTAGTTTAGTTTTTATTTATTTCCAATTTTTGTTCATTTCGGTTAAAAAATATCATTTTTGTTAACGCTGCTCTACAGAAGCAGAAAAGTGTCATAATTAAGCTTAATTCAGTTTAATGTTGATTCAATTCGGTTCAATAACAGTGTCAATGTTGCAAAGTTCATCAATTATTATGCTAAAGCAGAAATGAATTCGTTTCATAATGGATGAACTTTGCAACAATGACATTTATTGAACTGAATTGAACTGAACTTTAAATAAAGACCAGTTGTGAGCTAGGAAGTTGTTAATCAGTGGTATTTGATTCTGTTGAAGCCATCAGCCTGCAATATTTCAACTTATTTTTTAAAATACTGACATTCAACAGCAGAATTCAGTGAGAATCTCAACAAGCAAATCACGCCAAAAGAGCTTCACCCACTTCTATGAAGCACTGCAAATGTTATATTTGTGCTAAATATAAAATATATCGTTTCTATAAACTTAATCAACATCTTTAAAGCAATAGTTTATATTTATCCATTAGTATTATTTTGATTGTATCATTTGCAATAAATGGTATTGTAGTTCTTTCCTTCATTAAAGCCATTACACTGTCATTGTCTGATTTTCAAATACTTTTTTTGCTTCAAATGCTTGCTTCAAAGTGTGTAATGTTGTGATTCACCTCAACACTGGTTGGTTTGGTTCATAGGTTATAACTCTTTTACAAACACTATTTAAAAATCCCTCAGGGAAAAAACTTCAGGCTGCTGAAAAAGTGGGCGGGAACATTTGCGCTCTAGAGTGAGTTTTGGGCGGGGCTATCATTTTGACTGACAGATGGAGAGCAGAAGGGGAGGTGTTTAGGAAAACATCAGTGTTTTTGTAGCTCACAAGCCATTTTACTTAAACGAACATGATGATTTCCTGCTGATTACAGAACCGGCTTTACTAACAAAATGCGCATGACAATCGCATTCGATTAATCGTGCAGCCCTAGGTTGTATATACTATACCGATTTCATGGGTCAGCAAGTGTCTGTCGAGCTCTTGCAGGGTCGGACAGCAGCCCAGAGATCTCATGACCGTCAGCAGATCCTGCGCCTTCATTTTACCACTGCGCTTCTGGTCGTACAGCGAAAAACACTCTTTATACTCTGAAGGAAGACACAAACGTACTGCTATACACAGAAAGTGTAGTATGCAAACATTTGAAATGTAACACCTTACCCAGATTAACTTTGAAATGCATCCAGATGACAGATCAAAACGCTTTTTGTTTGATAAGGACTGGATAC